GTTGAACTAGTTTACAGTCCCACCAACAGTGTAAAAGTGTTCCTATTTCTCCACATCCTCTCCAGCACCTGTTGTTTCCTGACTTTTTAATAATCGCCATTCTAAATGGTGTAAGATGGTATCTCATTGTGGTTTTGATTTGCATTTCCCTGATGGCCAGTGATGATGAGCACTTTTTCATGGGTCTGTTGGCTGTATAAATGTCTTCTTTTGGGAAGTGCAGAGACACCATTTCTAAATAAATAGCTTGTTGAGTGAATTCTCCATAAATGAAGAAATTTGTTTCTGAAACATGATGAGGCAAAGGCACTGCAAACCCAGGTAGCAGTTGTGCCCAAACATCTTTCACATCTGTATATTTAGATTTTCTCCTCCTCTTGTGCGGATAGACAGCCACACACTTACCTGCTCCCTGCCACCCCCGTGGACGCCACCACCCAGTACTTCCTACATGCTTCTTCCCTAAGGACTTGTTCCCCCTCACCTCTTTATTCTCTTCACATGACCCCTGACGGACCTCTGAGCCTCCTCACCTAATCACAGGCTTGGAGGCTGTCCTGGGAGTCCTGGTGCCAATCCCATTCCAGACCACCAAGGTCAACAGGTAAAGGTGGCTTCAAAGGAAGCCCCAGGTGGTGGGCTCACACCGTCTTGGCGCTGGACGGGAAGTTGTGAGAAAGGCAGAAAAGTCCATCTGTCTCCATAGAAAAGAATGCATGTGTAGGTTTGTTTTTGAGGTTACGCTCAGGGTCTCACTCTCCCTGTCTCCTGCTTGCTTCCAGTTCCCAGTGGCCCTCCCTCAACAACCATCTTGGCCTCTTCAAACAAAGTGAAAAGTGGGGACGACGTCAGTGTGCTCTGCACTGCCCTGGGGGAGCCCGACGTGGAGGTGGAATTCACGTGGATCTTCCCAGGGCAGAAGGTAAGTGTCATACTCAGCACCTGCATCTCAGCCAGCCATTTTAATTCACAGCTTTGTCCCCATCCAGTGCTACATGCCATAGCTTAAGAAGTGCAAGAAACATGTGGGACTTTGTTGGAGGCCAAGGCTTGTTTGTTTTCTTTGAAGATGTTTCAGTATATTAAAAAAAATTTTTTTAAGGACAGGAAATAAAAGATTTGAGTTTCATTAGTCAGTTTGCTCAATGTACCCTTTTCATATGCAGGGTTTTTTTTTTAAACCTTTAACTAAGAAGGGACAGTAATGCTCATCGCAGTGCCATTCACAATACCAAAGACATAGAATCAACCTGAATGCCCTTCAGTGGTAGATTGGATAAAGAAAACGTAGTACATACACACCACAGAATACTATGCAGCCATGAAAAAGAATGAGATCGTGTCCTTTGCAGGAACACAAATGGAGCTGGAGGCCATTATCCTTAGCAAACTAACACAGAGACAGAAAAACAAATACCGCATGTTCTCACTTATAAGTGGGAGCTAAATGATGAGAATACATGGACAAGAAGGGAACAACACATACTGGGGCCTACGTGGGGTAAAGGGTGGGAGGAGAGAGTGGATCAGGCAAAATAACTAAGGGGTACCAGGCTGAATATTAATACCTGGGTGAAGAAATGATCTTTCATTTCATGACATGAGTTTACCTCTATAACAAACTTGCACATATACCCCTGAACCTAAATAAAAGTTTTTTAAAAAATAAAAGGACACTGGGAGGAAAGGGAAATGAAGTATCTCACTCTTTTCTCCTGCCCCCACCTCAATCTTCAGTCCCATCTTCTGGGTCAACTAGAATCTCACCTCCTCCTGGGGTCCTTCAGAGTGTTCTCTCTGTTTTTAATATGTTTTGTCATTTTTTTATTTCAGTAGGTTTTTGAGAACAGTAGGTGTTGGGTTACATGAATAAGTTCTTTGGATGATTTCTGAGATTTTGGTGTATCCATCACCTGAGCAGTGTACACTATACCAAATGTACAGGCTTTTATCTCTCACCCCGCTTCCCACCCTTTCCCCCCGAGTCCCCAAAGTTAATTGTGTCATTCTTATGTCTTTGCATCCTCATAGCTTAGCTCACATTTAACAGTGAGGACATACCATATTTGGTTTTCCATTTGTGAGTTACTTCAATTAGAATGATGGTCTCCAATTCCATCCAGGTTGCTGCAAATGCCATTATTTCATTCCTTTTTATGGCACAGTTGTATTCCATGGTATATATACTATATTTTCTTTATCCACTCATTGACCAATGGGCATTTGAGCTGGTTCCATTTTTTGTGCTTGTGAATTGTACTGCTATAAACATGTGTACAAGTATCTTTTTCATATAATGACTTCCTTTCCTCTGGGTAGGTACCCAGTAATGAGATTGCTGAATCAAATAGTAGTTCTACTTTTAGTTCTTTAAGGAATCGCCACAGTTTTCCATAATGGTTGTACTAGTTTACATTCCCACCAGCAGTGTAAAAGTGTTCCCTTTTCACCACATCCATGCCAACATCTGCTGTTTTTTGATTTTTAAATTATGGCCATTCTCGCAGGAGTAAGGTGGTATCACATTGTAGTTTTGATTTGCATTTCCTTAATCATTAGTGATGTTGAGCAGTTTTTCATATGTTTGTTGGACTTTGGTATATCTTTTGAGAATTGTCTATTTATG